GGCTATCGCCACTGGCAAGCGTCTAGCGACCAAGTGTCTTTGTGCTAACTACGCCGCGATTGGTTTCTCCCACCGCTCCAGGAACCGCCTACTGCTCCGTTACACTCGTTATATAGGCGAGGCCACCTCCTAGCACCTCTACTCATTCACACCTATCCTCTCTCCTAGACTGGTCTTGTAAAAATTTCATACAGTTGTGATAAAGCTTATACTAAAGCCGGCAAGAACAAAAGCCTTGTGTCTCCACGTCTGCCGCGTTCTTCCCATAGTTTACGGTGAGAATAAAATAAAACACCAATGGACTTACCTGGGGCAAGACGAGACTGAGTGCTCGCAGCCAAGTATCAAGTCATCACCAATTAAATGCCAAGTAGAGGCGCACGTGCGTGCTAATTAAATACGTTACATATCTTGTTTAATTCATCGAGTGACTCTCGAGACAATAGTCATTCCTTGTGATTGTGCTAAGGAAGTAAAAGGGTCCATAAGCTATCTAGTTCAATGCACCTATGTCGTATTCAGTGTGTCAACCTTTGAGATTCAATTAATTATATTCTCTATTGTAAAATACCAAGTGTCCAAAATCTCAATACTGTTTGAGTCAATTATGGACAAATAAAAGTCATAGAAGTAATGCTACGATTGAAACGATAGGAAGAGTCCAATCGATAAAGAAACCGTAGAGCACAACAGTCACCAAAATCTAACATCTTCAGATTGTTCATCCGGTAGTGGTTTTGATCACATTTGTTAACTCTATTAATGTATTTCTTTGCATAATATCACTGGTGTCATATTTATAAGAGCAAGTATTATTTGGCATCTCTTAGCGTCGCGATTTTTATTAGTTTTGTCTCATTCATGAAGATATTCCGCCCTGCCCTCTTTGTCTACACTTCACTATAAACCTTTGGCCAGCTGATTCGAACGAGCACGTTAAGCCTCAGTTGATAACCAATATAAAGATTCTGTTAATAGTGGTTGACCATTGAGAGAGTATCGCATATCGTGAGAACGATACTAGAACAACATTAGTACAATAAATGTAGAGCATTATCCTAATTACACTGTGTTTTATTTTGCAATCAGTTATAAGATAT